TGGATGAAGTGCTTTAGACTGACAGAACAGTATTGTTGTACTTCCAGACAAAAGCCCTGCAGAGAGTCATGAGGATATGATGGGATGATTTTATAACATTAATAATGGACTGCTCTCTGTAGACAAAGCTCCTGCAAGTCTGCGAGAGGTGGAGACTCTCACATAATCAGTTGACTCAGAAAAGAAAGCGTGTGTGAGAGCGTCACAGCTCCATTGTCATTAGAGTCTCCATTTACACTTTACTGTCTTACTTAAGAACCCTCTAATGTGATTATTCTCCTTATTGGTTACCACCGTGACCCCTGCTTCACATCTATTTCCCGCTCTGAGAGCCTCTTACTCTCTCTTCCTCTTTCACTCTTCTTTGATGCTGCTCTCCGTCCACTGCTCTTTTGGCACCTTCTTGTTTCTTTTTCTTTTTTTAAAAATGTACTAAATGTAGTTTCATCATGTAGGGCTTACTGTCTGAAATCCTGCGTAAGGAGGAAGATCCCAAGACGGCGTCCCAGTCGCTACTGGTCAACCTGCGCGCCATGCAGAACTTCCTGCAGCTGCCGGAGGCCGAACGTGACCGCATCTATCAGGAGGAGCGGGAGCGCAGCCTCACGGCCGCCTCTGCAATGGGCTCCGCTCCGCTCATCAGCACCCCATCCAGCCGACCTGTACAGGTAAATTATTGTTTCTGTGGATGCTGTGGATGGGTTCAACCAGCAGACACACATGCAAAGTTATGGAGCTTAAATTAGGACGGTGAACTTGACATATGATGTGAGATGAGGCTGTGCTCCATTGGTAGCAGAAGTGTGATGGATGAAACACAAAGCATCAGCAGTTGTAGTAAATACTTTGTCAACTTCGGGACCCGAAAATCATGTAATATTGCCAACCGAACCCAGATGTTTATTGCCATTACCCTGCTTATTAAACTCCACAACTATTCCCAACTCAAAGAAAACACTTTCTGCTCCGAGTCAGAGTAATCTGAAATGAAGCGACAGCTCTTTAAAGTCCTGTGGCTGACAAAAAGCAAAGAAAATCAAATTTCTACACGGTTATAGTTTTCAGTGTGCACGCAAAACTCAGGAGTGATAAATCTACATTTCTACCCCATAAAAGGACATATGTGAAGAGATCTGTTCCTTTGAACCGTCGAGCCAGCTCTGCCGAGATGTTGTTGGTATTTCATGAATGTGTTTACACGCAGCGAGCGACGGGTAAAGGTATGCGCGCGTGAGAACAGGTTGGATTGAGATGAGAATGTCTGTCCATCCGTCTTTGCGTTGGAATCACAGACAGACAGACGTGTGAAACAAACCTCGTGACGCGGGCACTGTTTTAGAGGTGCTGCAAACCACACGAGGTCAAACAAAACGCTATTTCCTTTTTCTTTCTTCTTCAGAAGATTCAGTCAGTCGGTATAAAACATTTGCGCGATGTTAAATATTTATACTGTACAAACACAGGCACCTCACGCACTCATTAGCACACTGTTTTCTGGGACAACAACAAGCGCGTGTACAAGAACAACCCCAACACATTGTTTCGTTGCATGCTTCACATTCCCCTCTATTGTATCAGCCTCTCTAGAAACACACGGAACAAATAAAAGTCTGTCAGTGGTAAAGAGAACATACTTTACATTCTTCCTGCATGTAAATGAGTTGTGCATCATCCCCGCCCTCACCACACAGGTGAGAATGGTGCACGAATGATGGATAATTTTTTGTGCTAATTTTGACCTTTTACCATGCATTAGGCAGCATTAACAGCCCTCCCATTTCAAAAAAATAAAGCGGTGATGACAAGCTCTGTGAAAGATCAAACATCGTTTAGTCAGTGCCTCTTTCGAAATCGCTTCGTACCACAGCACAACTTTGTACCCTCGCCGCAAATCAGTGTCCCTCATTTGAAAGGTATGTGGCAACTTTCTACCACTTAAGCCCATTTGAAGTGCGGTCAGCTGCATTTGGGAGGTGAGAGGGCCAGACAAAGGCTTCTTCTGTCCTGTCTCCGGTGAAAATTTGGCTTTTATTTAGGTGCGGAGGAGAGCGAGATAGAAGCCCCAGCCCACCCATCTTAAAAATCAATCTTCCCTCTGAAACGACTCAGCGTGGTGGCAGTGGCCGGCTGAAAAGAAAGAGTCGTACTGTGAAGCAGCGGCGCTGAACTTAAAGCAGGACCATTTTGCAGTTCACGGCTCATCTTTACAATCTCAAGCTGTGCCGGCACAGGACGGGAACTCAAAGCAGGAGAGTGGACTATCGCACAGGAATTTATTGATGTAAAAAAAGGAAAGTAAAAGAAGGTTTTGGCAAAAATAATCTGCTTCTAGTGTTCGTGTTAGTGTCCTTAAAGCCGAGGCAGGAACGTGGAGCTATGAAGTGCCTGTTAAGTTCATGTCAGGCTTATCTTAGCATATCTGCAGTGAGCTCACAGAGCTGCAGAGGCACATACGGAAACAAAATAAAACAGAAATAAATCTCCAAGGCGGAGAATAAAGGCAGTGGCTACAGCACGGTGTAGAAAATTCAAATCCTGCTTTCTGATTTTTATTTTCACATCACTCAAAACACTGTTGGCACATCAGTACAATATCTCAAGGCCTAATATGCGTCACCTGTATGACTTAAACCAATTGACATTTATCATATAGACCTGTTTTCTGTCCTTCCCTCTCACGCGCGCACACAGATTTGCACACTCATACACCTGGCCATCTGCCAGCCTCTCCTATGGAGCAATGCGGTGCGAATTTAAGCACATAAATCAGACAGGGTGGCAATTGAGCCTGAGACAGAGGAGGGTTTTTATTGGCCTCATAAAAACAGATGCAGAGGTATGTTTCTCTCACATGTACCGATGGCTCGGCTCGACTCTCCCAAAGCCAGTTAGTGCATGTCTCTGCCTTAACAATTTGCTTGACACGGTACCCTCCCGCTCCCACTGACAAGCCCGTGTCGAGCTGTCATAAAACAGGATAAAAGGCCCAGAAATTCTCAGACATTCCACTTTCACCACAAATTTCAGAGATTGTTTTTTAACACGTAAAGGAGCTCGTATTAGGTGTCTAGACAAATACTTGAATATATATGTTTTTTGATCACCAGTTCCATCGCGAGATGGGTAGCTGTTGGTGTTATTATGGTTTATTTGAATGCCATTTACTTGTACCCACACCCAACCCTGTCGATGGCTCCTTTCAGAAAGACTCGTATGGAATGATTCATATGCTAATGGTTCTTGGGTAATGCTTTTATTAGGATACTTGTTACCTTGTCAAAGGATTTTCGTCAAGATGCAACAAGCCGCTGAATGAAGATGATTTGATTTCACTTGACTTACATTTATTTTTTAATCACCAGCTTGACATAAGAATAATAACGTTTCACACAACACATCTAAGTGTTTGTGAGCGAAGTAAGGCTGGCGCTGTGTGTGGGTGTAATCTACACTCGAGCGCGCGGGTGTGTGTGTAAGAGGTGGCTGCATGCGTGATCATGTGTTCAGACAGATTCCCTTTATTATTATTATTTTTTTCTTATGTGAGCCTGAACAAATGTGGTTGTGTTGTGTTCTAGCCCCGAAGGGAAGACTGTAACAGCGTAAGGCCGGAGGATTGGAATCCCCGAATCCCTGTGGGCATTTCACCTGTGAGCAAACCACTTCACCCAACCACAGCACTGCCAACCGAGCAGATACATTCTCATTGAAAATACAAGTCACTCTCATTGACAACAATATCCCCATGTCAGTGCAATTTTAGTGTTTTCTATGTTTATGAAGCTGGAAAGTTATTTTTCAAGCGCGAGGCAAATAATTTCTCTGTCTTTCAGCGCAAAGTGTTATCAGAAAGTCTGGAACAATAAAGTTAAATTACATTACATTACTCTGTTGCAGTATTTAGTAAACCAACTGTCACACAACACTATTAAAAATAAAATCTTCAGACAGTAGAGAGTCCAGGTCCACACATGCAATCTAAACCTGTCAAATACAAATAGAATCTTATATCTAACAACACATTAGAGTTTAATAAAACCGGGAAAGCCTTTAAATCAAATGTTTGTTCTTTTTATTACCAGGTTAAACCGTCACCGCTGCCCAGCGAGTGGAACGGCAAGGCAGACAGCTGCATCCTCAACATCAACTCCACCATCTACGATGAGATCCAGCAGGAGATGAAGAGGGCCAAAGTGTCCCAGGCCTTGTTCGCGAAGGTGGCGGCCTCCAAGAGCCAGGTAGTGAAATGCACACTAAAGAACTGTCGCATAATTTGTTAATTGAACCGTGCTTTCTAAAGTAGAGCTGTACTGATATGCCATAAATCAATGAAAGTCCAGACGGGCATACGTACGACACACGTGCAGACACAGCCTTTGTGTTTAAAGAGAGAAATTGAGGACCTTTTGTCTCTGATTGGTGAACTCTGGTGAATTTGCTTCGATGCGTGTGTGCAGGAAAACTGCACATCTCCATCAAAGGTTGGAGACGGCGCATGAGGAAACTTAGCTCAGTGTATCAGTGGAGCGATTTATCGTCATAATGACACATGTCTTCTTTATTGTGGGTTTGGAGTTTAGCAGTCGACACTGTTTCAACACCAAACAAACCTGTTTATATTAGCTCCACTCAGCTAGATGATGATGGGAGCCCCTGTCATCTTCTCACAAAGAGCGCAGAGCTCACACAACACAAGCTTGTGTGTGTTGGAAACAGAGGGTGAAAACATAGCGCCAGTTTAACTCTTTATTAAAAGCAATTAAAAATGTAGCACTGAGGACTTATTATTAAAGGTTTTCGTGTGTCTGTCGCAGGCAGAGTTGGGAAGATTTCCACAATTGTGCTTGATGAAGAAGATGGTGGGGGGGAGAAATAGATCACCAAGGGCGGAATAATCTTGAAATATCTGCAAAGGCTTTATTTTTTTCTTGCTGATTAGGATGATTATAGCCCCAGATAGCTTTGTTTTACCAAATTGCAGTTTGATGCACAAACCACTGTTTTTGTTAAGGAGTTCAAAGACTCCTTGGAAGGATAGAGAAAAGGGGGAGAGTGAGGCGGTCGCAGTATTAACTCGCTCATGTCTCTCTCTTCTCAAATGACGGTTTGTCTGGGAACAGGTTTCCATCATGCTGTCTCCACCTCCCTCCCATCTCTCTGTCTTGCCCCTCTACCTCTCTCGTTCCCCCGATTTCTGCCTCTCTTTCACGTTCCATTCATGGCAGGCGGGTGTGAATGTGAATTGAGCAGCAGATAAGAAGTGTGCTAATTATGCCTCTGAAAAGGGGCCTGGGAGAGCACTTATCTCTGGCTCTATCTCGTAATGGGCGCTCCCCGGGCAGCTGGTCCTCCCCCCTTACTACCCAGCCGGCATTGCCACATCTACCAGCACCGCCAGGCCAGCGGCTGCTCCTCCCCAGCAGCACCCACGTACTCTGAAAATCAGATGCTGGGACCCAGCTTTCAGCTGCAGTTTCCTCAAAAATATTCAAAAAAGAAATTGTCAATATTTTTTATTTAATTTAAAGCAGGACAGTGGGTTCATTGTTTTAGTTTCATGCT